ATTTGCATCGGTGCACGAATTGCAAGTATGATTTTTCTGCATTGCTAACAAAATAACAACTCGCCCTTACCTCTACTCGTCCCGTTACAAGCAAAAGAGAGTTTAACAACACATGGGCATAGTGAAGCTACATTTACGTCCAGAAGCAAAACAAGGGGCCATCAGAGCCATTTGCTCAATGCATCAGGGAAACTGAACAAAAATCTGATCGAGTTGGTGGTCATTGACCCGGAAGCAGAAAGTCCGTTAAGTAAGTACATTATTTGTTACAAACATATTAAGCCTTTTAAAAAATATACAAATCAAAAGTAAACTAATTCATTATATGTCACTGTTTTGTTAAAATACACATTATTTTTCTTTTTAATTATCAGTTTTTAATTATTTAATTATCATCTCTAATTGTATAGAAACAGTAATGCAGTGGAAAATATTTTACTTTTAACTTAAATTTGTTAACCGACGTCATTTGTTTAATGTAATCTGGCAGTGCGTTGTAATGTACATGTCTTGTATGTTGATTTCTGATAGTGAGTTGTTGATACTGACACTTGAACGTGATATTTACGACGTATGTTGTAATTATAAATATCAGTATTGCATGAAAATATGTTCCTTCCGTTAAGTAAGTCACTTTTGACAAATATTACAGATTCGTAAATATATAAGCAAGGCAGTGGTAATATTCCTAGCTCAATGAAGAGAGGCTTGCAAGAGTAACGTGGATGGCATTTTTTCATTATAGGAATAATTTTCTTATGCAATCTAAAGGTCTGAGTACATTCTGAGTTTCCCCAGAATTTTATGCCATATCTCAAGTGGGAATGTACATTTGCAAAATACACGCGACGAGCTGCATGAAGGCTGGCAGAATTTGATAGAATTCTGAATGCGTAACATAATGAACTTAATTTAGTGTATAATGTTGTTATATGTACATTCCATTAGAGGTTTTACTGAATTGACCGACCTAGGAATTGTGTTACCTGATTGCATATTATTGCATAGTGCAATATGCATGGTGCATAGTGCATAGTGATATGTGCAAAACAAATAAAAATATTTTACGTGCCTTTTATGAATGCATTGCCATGGATTCTCGATGACAAAGTGAATTGTACTGCAGCACTGTCCATAGGTCTTTCTACTGGCAATAATAATTTCCTGTTCTTTTCCTCGCGGTAATAGTTCACCACATTATTCACTGCCAGAACGCACTCTCGCATTATTACTGCACTATTCGTGCCTTCTCGGATGTGTGTTCGCGACCTCATTTTGAAAACCACAGTAGTTCCTGTTGTCTAGGCTATCCGGGACGAGCCGCGTCACCGACATGGTGGCTAACGTTTCGGCCACCGTATTGTGGCCTTCTTCAGAGCCCGGATAGTGTAGACAACATAAACTGCGGCCGCGGAAGCCTACGCAACCAATAGTAGTCCTCTAATGCAAGTCGCACCTCGGGTGGCGCGGGCCGCAGGGCGTCCGCAGGCAGCAGGGGCAGGGCGGCGCCGCCCGCGCCGGGCCACCGCGTGCCGTTCACCTGCGCGTGAAGCAACCGAGTAGAATGCAGAAATGGGCCACGCATATAAATCCGTGGCTCTGTATTCCACGACCAATAACCAATAATTTGAAAAAGAAATCACAATATGAAAACAAAACGAAAAACACGTTGCTTCCTGCAACGGATAGTGTCATAAGCATGGAAGTTGTTGAAATGTTATTGTACTTAGCATAAAGTGAATTTTATCGCAATAAGAAGCAAATAAACAGATCACAAATAAGGCGGCAAACTTGAAAAGTGATATATTAGAAGTTTGAAGATTTCTATTGTTACAGTTATATATTGAACATAGTGAAGGCATTGCGAACATTATTATTATAACCACTAATATATTTTAATACAGATAAACGAAAAGGCAACAATATAGAAATAAGATCTGATACAAACAACACGTGGATTCAGTACAAGTTTTACGCGATACCGTCATGCACCTCTCATGTTTAGACTGCAAAAGACATGGAGCGTCCGTCAAGAGCACTGAAGCCATACGGTCAGCCGTTCTATGTGGTTTAGTCGTATTCTTGCTGGTTGTTTGAAACACGCTCGGTCTCTACAGCCATGTCCAGGCAGATCTAGAGTATTGGCAGGCATAGTCCGGCGCATCGACTTTTGCTCGCTGTGCGTCACGAACCACGTGACCACATCACGGGTACTTGTTTGAAAAGCCAGAACAGTAGCTGGCCCCCATGGTGCGTGAAGAGCGAAAAGTGTTGAGAGATACTTTGAAAGTGGCATAAAGTGAAAATTTTCATCGAAAAATTACACAAAGGTGTAATAGAAATAAGAAATACAATAATAAAAAAAGTGCTTCATACATATTTGAATGAATGTGATAATTTTGGCGTTCAGACGCTGGTCCCTGAAGATGATTAGCTGACGCGCCAGAGCCCCCATCACTTTCCACCATGAGGCAACGCCGTCATCTGCGCCAGCGCAGTTCGAATGTCGCGTCGCTTGCCGCATCTGCGCATGCGCGGGAGACGGAGTTTGCTGACCGAAATACAAGGTAAGGGACTTAGCTCATTACGGAGGCATGTTACGGCAACCGACAGCACAATCAATTGTGTGCGCATGCGCAATTGCAGCACCGGAAAAGACGGCACGAGCGCCGTCATAATGGATGGAAAGAGGTTCTCGGAGCGAAATCGCTTCCCCTTCACCGCTCAGGTTGCAGTTTCAATCCCCGTAGAACCTCATGTGAAATTTGTTACGACGAAACGAGTTTGCCTGCTTCACAAGGGGTGGTCCAACCCCTGTGAAGCGTCCAAAACTTCAACCGTATACTTATTCTTTCCCAATTCTGGCCGATGGGTAGATGACGCAGGGCGCGTGCGAGACGCGAGCGCGCCGACGCTACCTGTCGACGATTCGCTGACTTGACTGTAATTGACGTGACTAGTACTCAGTGAACCCTAGAGGGCACCTTTAACGGAGGATTACCCCATAAGGGCCAGGGGGCTCTAGGGCATCCTACTTGACTACATCCAAAGAGCTTGAGACACCTTTCGTCACAATATTAAGGCATATTTCGTCGTTTACATCTCGCAGCAGGCGCGCCAGCAGGCGCGCGGCGAAGGCGCGGCGCGCGTCGCACCAGAAGGAGGCCGTGGCCGCGCGCAGCACCTCCTCGGCCGCGCGCCGCCCGCCCGCGCCGCACGCCAGCGCCAGCGCCCACCGCCCCTCCTTTCTCAACATACATACATACATACATATATATTAATTTATTTTCAAATAATAAACAATTCACGTGTTTCCCAAGGATTTATATGCATTTGCAATGCAAAGTTTTGCCTTGAAAGCAATTTTTGAGCAAGCGTATTGCGGCTCAAACATTCGGAATATCCTAGTAGTTTATTACACAAAACAAATTGCTAAAATTGTGTTATTTGTGTTGTATTATTTGCGAAGTTTCGACGTGTCCTCCCCAGACACCTGTCTATACAAAATTTGCGTACAGGCCACTACTGACCACGAGGGACATTTCTCTCTCCGACACCCAGTTGTATTCCATCCTGGAGAGATCATGGAAAACAATCTGGACGAAAAAAAAGTTTTTAAACACAGTTATATCTGTCTAATCAGAATTCGATCTCGGCGAGATGAAAGTTTTTAAACACAGTAAAACCTATCTAAGACGGAAGTGGTCTAAACGAAAAAAGTTCTTAACACGAAAAAAATTTAGGACCACGTCCCAGCAGCCCAGAAGACATGATATATATATATATATATATATATATATATATATATATATATATATATATATATATATAATAGTTTTACTGTGTATAAAAAACTTTTCGTCTAAAACGATTCCGGCATCAACAGGTTTTACTGTAATTAAACACTTTCTTTCTTCTTAATCGATTTCAGATAAGACTAATTTACTTTTATAAACGTACTAACTGTTTAGATCGATTCCGGCTTAGAGAGCTTTTACTGCGTTTCTAAACTTTGTTTTGTTTCAAATCAATTTCTGATGAGACTAATTACCTTTTACAAACATAATATCTGTTTAGATCGATTCCGGCTTAGACAGGTTTTTTGTGTATAAGACTTTGTTTTCTTTTATTCGATTTCCGATAAGACTAATTAACTTTTAATAAACATAATACCTCTCTAGATCGATTCCGGCTTAGACATGTTTTTTGTGTTTAAAGACTTTGTTTTCTTCTAATTCGATTTCTGATAAAACTAATAAACTTTTAATAAACATAATATCTCTTTAGATCGATTCCGGCTTAGACAGGTTTTACTGTATTTATAAAGTTTGTTTTGTTTGAAGTCGATTTGTGATAAGGCTAATATCCTTTTGATGAACTTAATGATTTTACGTGCGTGGCGAGGGCGAAGGGGGCGGCGGGCAGCGGGCGCGTGGCGACGAGGCGCAGGTCGAGCGCCGCGCCGCCGAAGCGCCACAGCGCCACCAGGCGCAGCAGGTCGGCTGCGTGCGCCGCCGGGTGCGCCGCGCGCGCCACCGCCCCCGCGCGGAAGAGCTCGCCCGCGGGCGTCGCGTCGGCGAAGCGGCGCGCGTCCACGCCGGCCACGCGCACGTTGCGCAGCGCCACCAGCGCGCGCGCCGCGACGCCCCACCCCTGCGCACCCACCCACCCACCTCACTCGAATGTACGCCACTGTAAGAAGGCGTGCAACATAGCCTTAATTTTAAAATTGCCTCTCACCAACATTTAAATCGCCTATTTCCTCGCCCACGTCATACCTCCTTTCACCGCTAGTTGGAGTTAACTCTTCGATTCTGTTTCTCAAATATTTACGTGGATTCTGTTACGACTTTTTCCAATCATTTTATGCCATAATATACAAGTATTTGATATAGGAATGATATTTGAAATTATTATTTGAGGAAATGATGCTATTTATTTGCTTAATGTATGCCTATATTGTAATAATTAAAAAATTACAATAAGTTGTTGTGCACATAACACTTTCCACAAAAACATTCGAGCATATCCTAGTTATAATACATACGTGTCTTTCTTACCAGCGTGAGAATGTTTGAAACATTGTTATCAAATTGTAAAAGACAAATACACAAAATTATCACTGAGTAGCTGCAACGTATTACAAAACGATATATGGGACCCTTTTTTATTTAGATATGAAATGTCGCATTTTCTACTCTAACTGCAAAAAATTAATTTTTTACTACAAAGAAACAAACTTAGAAAACTGAAAACATTACAATATATATAAAACTGGACGTAAATATCATGTCTAAAAATAAAAGTTCATGGCAATCTTTGGGCCGACTTGACATTATGATTTCGTTGGGCAGATTCTGCGCTTCATAGCTAACCTAAAAATATCGAACCGTTAGTATTATTTCAAAATAACTATTTTGTTTGATGTCAATAATTTTACAACCCCTTTGTTGTCCTCCGTTCATGATGATCTTCCGTTTTAAAAGTTAAAGTCCTCTTAGGCAAGGATTGACATTCCATTGCCTGCAATCGGTACGCTGTCGTCTGCGCGCCTTGCACAAGGCAACAGTGCGGCTGTGCCCTTGGGAGCGGTGGGGAGGAGTGTACCTGCGGGTCGGCGCTGATGCCGTAGGCCGCCGTCGCCAGCAGGATGACCGTCCTGCGCGGGTTGAGGCGCGCCGCCGCCTCCACTGCGCACGCGCTGCGCGCGCTCAGGCGCAGCTGCGTGTCCCCTGCGCACATCAATTGCATGTTGTCTTCCACATGGCACTTGGCACCTTCTCTCTCTACATCCGCTCACCTTGGCAGGAGGCGTCCACGAAGAAGATGCTGGCCTCGTCGGGCAGGCGGAGGTCCAGGACGTCCAGCAGGCGGCGCGGGTAGGCGAAGGCGGCGCGGGCCCCGCCGCGCAGCTTCAGCTCCGCGGGCGAAGGCTCGCGCTCGGCGCTGTAGCACGCGCGCTCCGGCCACCGCGCGCTGCGCCTGCACGCGGGCGCCCTGCAGCGAAGCACTGTCTCTTTCACCTTGTCTTCACGATGGCACATCTCTCGCACGAGCGCTTGAATTGCTCAAGACGGTCGCGATCACGCGACGTCAACCAATCAACCGTGGACAGGCCCCGTCCGGCGGCCGTGCTGCGACCCACCTGTAGAGCGGCTCCAAGACGGGCCGGCGACTCGCGCAGACGCGCGGGCGGGGCGCGGGCGCGGGCGCGGGCGCGGGCGCGGGCGCGGGCGGGGGTGGCGGACGGGGCGGCTGCAGCAGCAGCAGCACGATGAGGGCGAGCGCGAGGGCCACGCAGCAAATATTCCTCCCGCGGCCACGTGTGACGACCAGCAGCATCGCCCTTCCAAGGGCCAATGGGAATCGGATGCACACTGAGAGCCAAAAATACTGGTGCAGCCATGCGTATTGAAATAATGAGAAGTGGAACCAATCAGAATACGACGCTCCGTTCGGCAACGACTATATGCAACAACCAGAGTCTGGCACAGATGTTAGAGCGGTTACTGCTGCTACAATGGCAGGTTATCACGATTTAAGTGAGTTTGAACGTGTTGTAGTCGGCGCAAGGGAGGTGGGGCTTAGCATCTGCAAGGTCGCGATGAAATTTGAGTTTTCTCGAATGACCACTTCACGACTGTTCCGTGGATATCGAGAATCCGGTAAAACATGAAACCTACGGCATCGTTGCGACCGCAAAAATATCGTGCAAGAACGGGGCCGACGACGACTAAGGAAAATCATTACACGTGGCAGACGTGCAACCCTTCCGCAAATTGTTGCAGATTTCAATACTGGGCCGTTAAGTGCGAACCATTAAACGAGACCTTGTCGGTGTAGGGTTTTGGTACCGCTGGCTCACTCGTGTACCCTCAATGACAGCACAGCACAAAGCTTTACGCCTCGCCTGACCCCTTCAACATTGTTATTGGACTGTTGATGCCTGGAATTACGTTACATTTTTAACACCATTTGCTTCTCTCTTCGTAAATTGATATATTTTTGCAACTTCACGCCACTGGCTGTGAAGGACTTTCTTATGCAACTTGCTCTTAACGCATTGCAATAATAACAAACAACAATAATCGCTTAAATATACCTTCACCCAAAACGTGTACAAATGCTTCACTCCAGTCGGCAATCTGAGCCCTCGGCCTTCAGCAGCCACGCTGAAATAATTTTACTGTACAACGTACAACGCGCGCACGTTTTCTTTATCCTCCAACTGCCTAGTTGTGGCTGAATGCGGCTCAGGCGCGCTAGGAAACACGAGCCTTACGCGGAACGTGACAGTTGTGGGAGGTTAGACTAAGAATTTCAAACTGCCGAGCCGCAGAGACACATTGTTTCGTTGCGACAGATAACTCCTGAAATATTTTAGCAGAAAGGTTTGAGGAATTCAAATTTGCAAATTCCAAAATTGGCAAAATTACGCTAAACTATTAACAATTTTTTTAAAGTTTACATGACCTTCATTGATCATACGTTTTTGAACATAATTATTTTTTAAAAATTTCGATCATCAACACTGAACTTTCGTTTTGTGTTGTTTGTAATATTTGAAAATTCAAAGAGTTCGCAGAAACTGGGACCAGAACCACTTTCTTAACCCTTTCCTACATGAGAGAAAAATGGAAAGAAAAATTTGGAGCCGTTTTTGAGAATAAAATTGTTGAAAAATTGAGATAAATTTAAATGAAACAAGCTCAGAACATACAATGTAGGCTTTCACGGCCGATTTCTACGTAACAATTAGTTGTTTCCGGCTTTGTAGGCCGTGATCCAACAGAGACTGGACCAAACGTTTCGCCTGCAACTGTAGAAGGCATCATCAGTGGCGCTGCTGGCGGGGCCGAAGTGTCCTTCTTAGCAGTCCTTCCTATCAGACTGCAGACTGATAAGTCAGCAGTCGCATATCACGTGCTGTCGGGACGTGGACACGACATGCGCTTTGAAGCAACGGATGTTCTCTCCACCTCCACACACTATTACAAGAGACTCCAAATGGAAGCCATCGAGATTTACAAACATAAAAACAATTTCAACAGAAAAGAAGAAAGTGAAAAATTAAACAAGTACATGGTACCCGGCACTCCGTAAGACCAAAACTCGGCAGCCAACCAGTACCGCTGACTTGGGCCAATCAGGCGCGAGTACCGCTGGCGCGACCCAATCAGACACGAGCGCGCGAACCTTGCCTTTCACCATTAATACAGGTCCCAGAGTGTCAGTCAACGCGGTGTTGCCAAGAAGGACACTTCGCCCCCGCCAGCAACGCCACTGAAGATGCCTGCCACAGTTGCAGGCGAAAAGTTTGTACCAGTCTCCTTTGGACCACGACCTACAAACCCGGAAACAACTAATTATTAAGCTCAGAACAGTTATCCAATTTTGTTAAAAGTATTAATATTTAATGAAATTTAATTTAACTTAACACCTTTACACATTGTCTATGACAATGAGACTTTAGGGTAAAGAGTAGTAAGTGTAAGGAGTGTTCGTAAAGTTAGCGAGCAGGTCAAACAATATAATGAAAAAGATATGTTAATACATAGGCAGCCAAATTAATTCAAATTTTGGCATCTAATTTCGAATAAAAATTATTATAACCATTCTTTGGGATGAATTAACAGCGAGATCTTTAGTTAAGGTCATGTACTTTTTTTATTTCAGTAGTTTTCGCTTGATATTCATACAATTATGTGCAATTTTAAAAAATAACCTAAACAAGATTTTCTCAAAAACGGCTCTTTAAACTTTAATTTTTTTTAACTTTTGGTAGGGATAGTGCTAAATGTACTCTATTAGATGACATTAACATCAGTTTGCTATATTCTTTTGTTGTTGTTTTAAATTACAAAAAAATAGTTTTCAATATATAATACAATATTTGACTTCTTTCTCGCGTCGTTAATATTTACATTAGCAGCGATTTATTAATTATAATCAATATTATATTTATGAGTGCATGTGATTTAAATAATGCCTCATAAATTTTCTAGGAAACAACTGTTTTCTGTAAAAACTATCTCAAAATTCAGCATGTTCAGAAACGTTTAAACGATATTTTCTCAAAAAAATGCCTCAAAGTTTTCTTCAAACTTTTCGAACCGATAGTCAATATTGCACTCTTAAATATAATATAAAGTTCATTTTGGGGTATTTTTTTTTTTTGTTTTTTCAAAAATTATAAAAATGTAGTTCTTTTAAATATATCTCACGCCGTTAGTATGCACATTTCCTGCAAGTTGTAAACACTGTTTTATTTATGAGTTATTGCTTCAAATGAAGTTTTTCGAAAGCAAAAATGTTTTGTGAGGAAGGGCATCAAATTTCAAATTTACAGTAGTAAAGTAGCAGAGTATAGTAGTAGAGGTTTTTTACTGTTCTTTAATATTTTAAAAATAATATTACCGTTCTACTATTAGAAAATAAGATTTTTTTAAATGTACTTTGTGCGGCGATAGGTGACAGCTGGCAAGAGTATGTGACAAGTCCGAACAGCCAGTGAGACCAAAGGAAATAGAATACTAAAACGAGAAGTCTTTTCCATTATGTAGCACCACTAGATTTTTTTACATATTTTCATAAAATGTTCACAGATATGGGAATGAAAAGTTGATTTATGGTGTTTTAGGTTGTTTTAATTGTCGTATTAGTTGCTATTTCGACTGATGATAAGGAGGAATTCATTGCAATAAAACACAATTCGTCTCTTCAGACAAACGAAGTCAGTCTGCTTCGCAGGTCAAGAAATTAACCGCTCATGCTTTACATTGAAATGGAAGTTCGAGTTTGATTTTTCAGAGGTTGGCATTGCTTCAAAAACTGTAATAGGCGGCATTGTCATTAATACCTCCACTCTACCAACATTGCTCTAAGCCATCTGTCAAGAATATTTGCTCGATTTGCAGTTCTTCATGCAGACGATGGCAAAGGGATTGTGATCAAACACGTCTATTGCAGTCAGCACATTTACTTGCAGTTTCTCACTTACGGTTATCAATGCTTTGAGTTGAAGTTTTTCACGAGTATTTAATACAAACTTCTTGTGTCTTCCTGATAGCACCGTTTGATTGACACTGGGAAACGTAAACAGTGTTCAAGTTATTTCCTGAATGACAATCAATGCACAACGCACGGCCTCCTATATACGAAGGATCCCTCACAGAAATCTTATCACGCGGCGCCTTAGGACGTTCAGCGCCTCTGATCGGGAGGGCCTACAGCTCCATTCCCGACGGCGGTGACAGGATTTTCGACACTAGCGACCCTAGCCGGCTGCTCTGCTCGGTACTTTCCCGTGATTTCTCCGAGCAACGCCTGGCGAATGCCGGAGCAGTACCCGTAGAAATGGGTCACGGATCGCGCACGATCTTTCCTTACTCTTCCTTGTCTTCCCCCCTCTTACTTACACACACACACACTCGTGCATAGGTTGCACAACCCCCAGATATAATTGAAAAAGACCTCTAGATATCTGAGGAATATACATTCTCCTTTCAATGACATTCAATATTCAAGATATTTCAGCAATATCGATGTATACGAAAACATTTTTAAACAAAAGAGCGTCCAACAACCAACAAACACTTGCACCACGCACTTGGATATTGGCTGGGTTTACTGCATTTACTCTTTGTCCCTTCGATTTAACACGGGCAATATAGAGCCTCTGATATTTTAATTTGGGGTGGTACTTCACATGAAACCCTTGGAACACTCATTTTTTAATGGCTCTATCGTTTTTTATTAAATTACATTGTTGGATAGTGTGAACAACGTTTAAGAGAACGGTACTTGTCTCATTTTCGTTGAAAACAGATTCTTCGAAAATTGAAAATGTTCAATTTTTCGGATTCTTTCTAGAACAAAAATATTGAAGATAGAGATTTTCTACCTTAATAAAAAACTTTCCGTAAAGAAAGGTATTGAAATACGGTAATTTACAATTTTTCGAAAATTTGAGTACGTTTTTGCGTGAAAGTACACGATAGAAAGGGCGTTCTATTTTCGCACTTAAATTCGAATAGTAATTCTGTTCAATATTTAAAAACTTTGAAATTTAGAAACTTATATCTTCATGAAAAGTTCATTATAAAAGCACGTGGTAGTCTTACAACGAAATTACAATTGAACACATCTTTTTTTTTTGCATGCAGCTTCCATATTAAAAACGCCAGCCACCACTGGTATCCATACAAAATAGAAACGATTTAGGAAAAGAAAAACTTTCAACGAAGCATGATCTCGACGAAAATACACACATTACTGCATTTTAACCATTAGTTCCCGGCATTCTTTCCACCACGGTTCCCGGTATCCAGTATCTGACATTTGCCTCCCAGAGGTGACGGTGCTGCCCTCAGAAGATCTAAAAGTCACGTGATCTAGACATCTCTATAGTAATGCGATTAGGATTGAGGAGAAATGCATTGTCGACTGAAAGTGTTTTAAATCTTGGAATCGCTGAGTAAATGAATATAGGTGTATCGAGTGAAATTTGAAAATGGCTGATTATTGGAAGTCAAATGCTAAAAAGTACTGTGAGTTCTGTAAGTGTTGGATTGCTGATAACAAACCTAGTGTGGACTTTCACGAGAAAGGTAAAAGGCACAAAGAAAATGTTGCTCTTCGTCTTAAAAACATCTTTCGTCAGAGTGCCAAAGATCATAAGGAGAAGAAGAAATTGGATGAAGATTTCAAAAAAATGGAAAAGGCTGCATTAGAGTCTTACAAGAAAGATGTAGAAAGGAATGCTGACTACACATCACAGCTTTTGAATCAACAGTTAGAGAAAAACAAAACGAAATGTCCATGTCCAGCTTCGGTTAATGACGAAACGAAACAGAGAAATCAAAATAAAGTAAACGAAAGTAATGAAGATAAGGAACTAAAGTTAGGCACCAAAATTCTCAAAATTTGGTATGAAGCAGTCTCTGATGAAGGTTACACTTACTATTGGAACACTGTAACTAGAGAATCAGTCTGGGAGCCACCAGAAGAAGGCTTCACAAGTTTAGATGAACAAAAAAAGTTGGAGAAAGAAAAAATTCAAAAAGAAGGAAAAAAGAAAATTGAAGAAGCTAGGCAAAAAGAAGATCGAGAGAAAATAAAAGCTGAAGAATGCAGGGCTTTTATGGAAAGGGAGGAAATGAAGAAGAGAGCAAAAGTGGTGGAGAAAATTGACATAAAAAGTACTAGAGGCCTCACCTCAAGAGGCAATCCTTACGGATCTTGGGCAACTATTAAACGAAGGTGAGGTTCAATGGAATTGGACATGACAAATTCAGAATGATATTTGAAAAGATACTTTTGAATAAAAAATATATTTGTAAGTTGATTAATTGTTTTATAGAGTGAAAAATTAAAAATTTATAAAATAATATTTCCAGAATTGTATTATTTGTAAATAGCAACAAAAAATTGATTTTCTTATTACAATTTAAAAGTTTGATATCTCATGCAAATGTTTTGTTGTCCAAATAGATCCAGTAATCAAAATTGAAAACTTCAAGCTTCTTTGACATTTTGTCTTACCATTTTTTTAAACAGTATTATTGATAAGAAAATGAATGTCAGTGTGAAGGAGTTGTTAGAGAAATGTGTACAAGATATTGGGGTAAGGTGGGAGTTGACCAATATTTCATGAAAATGAAGGACAGAGAGTGATTTAACCCCTCAAAAATGAAAAATGAGTTATTGATCAATTTGTTGTCTAAGAACACCATCTTTGAACATTATTTGATGTACTACCAGTTTTTCTCCGTTAAGTTACGAGTGAACTCACTACTTTTTTCTCTTTACTAATATAATCTCATAACTATGTTACTTAAATGTGTTTTTTCTCTGTTAAAAGAATCGCTTTTACAACGGTTTCATATTCTCCATCACTTGTGTAATGGGTGAAGGGGAATGATTAAAAAGTACCCTGCAAAAACAAGTGCCTCATTTGAACATATTTTAATTGAATACGACTCTAAAAGTGTCACAACAATATTTGGCTTGTAATCTCAACTAAATAAATACTCTACACATCACTGCCCATAGGCCTTTTAAATGTTGACAGCATTTGTCTTGTAGTTCTTCGAAGAAGGTGCAAGGATAGAGCGCGCCACTTTAACATCCAGCAGTCACCATTTCCAGAGTTTTAAGATCGTGTAATACTTTGTAAGGTGGTTAAGGCCCAAGAACATGTAAAATGAATGCCTTGGTCCAAAGTTTGCCATTACCAAAAATCGTTTATAACAGCTGAAAAGTATGCTTCTGACTACCTAATTGTGTCCTTTCCTGTGCTGTCCTTGAAATATTTCTTCGCAAACTTGTTAGAGGGAGCTGGAAAGGTGAGGACAGAGGCGAATGAGGTTATGGACACTGATGTTCCAGAAGTGTCACGTAAGTACTGCCGGTCATTAAGATTAAAATAAAATCTGCAAAAAATGTAAAGAGCTATGGGCATAAGATTAGTTGGTCACAATTTTAAAATAATTCTTATTGCCGGTCTTGTAGAATAATTGCACTCTGATTGCAAATAACGCTGCTTCGATTAGCAGGTTCGCGCCCGTTGTATGTATCAATTGTAAATATTCTACTCTGCATAGAATAAATTGTAATCTTCGCGATTTCGAAGTGTTCGAACGAGAGAATTTCATATTTTTATTAATGTTCATTTGTCTTTAAATAAAATCCATTTAATGTCCATTGAAATTCTTGTGATGAAATTTATTTCGAGAGGAAACATTCTCGTATTAATCCTATTTTGTACTAACATCCTTCTAGTCACTTTTATTAAACAAAATGCATGTGTAGAAGTCTTAATGAAAAGAAATACATTGTTCATTAAGTAATTAAGGTTTATGTCACTGGACATAATTTCCAGCTGAGAGTAAACTAAAGACAATGTGAATAACAGAAGTGTAATCAAATTATTATGATCATGTCATTACACTTCTTTCCATATGTTCACCATTTGTGCGATTGCAAATGTTCTGGTTGGAAATGTTGATGAAACTTAACTGAAAAATATTCTTTCTTTTTACCAAGATGAGAAGTTATTTATTTTCATGTTGAATTTTATTGTATTCTTATGTTAGTGACAATAAAACCTGCTATTTTGCCCGAGTAAATTTATTTTCGTAATTTAATTTCTTTCCAAATTATTCTCCTTTTGCACATCCAAAATATCTCCAAAAGCCAACATCCTGGATCTCAGAACATATGAAATAAATTCATGTTAAAAAAATGTTTTGCAGGTTGTGTAAAAAATTCTGAAAGACAAAATGCCTAGACAAAGAAGGTACAACACAAGAAGAGCATCTCAATTGCAGAGGATTCGCTCCACTCCGTTTACTGTCTTGAGGGATTTGTCATTTTTACCAAGACTGAGATCCCAAGCAAGAAGGATTGCTAGGAGTGTGTAAGTTTCCATCTAAAGGCACATCTTTTCTTCCCGCTTTCTATTGCAGTTAATGTAATGATAAAATCCTAAAAAAGACTGTCCAAAGCATGCTCTTTGAGACTGCCGGAGAACTCTTTGGGCTCAGCAAATACATCACCATAATATTTTTTCTTGCATACTGTTTTAGACATTCAATAGATTCATGATTATCCTAGTCCCAGGTAACTGAGGTTATGTATTAACAGAAACCCTTGTTAATAAATAACAACAAAAAAATCCATTGAAAAACAGAACAGGAAATTGTTTAAATTCATTATTGTAGAAGCATGGAGCACTGGACAGTCATTTTCAGTTGTAGGTATATTGGGACTTCCATCCTCAAATGAACTTGGAACAATTGGAGGTTTTTGTATGCGAGGTTATCTCTCTTACAGTTACCTTGGATCATCACGTGTCTACTGTGTATAAAAAAGTTCTTTTTTAGACAAATAGCAAAAAATCATCTGAAAACCATTATCAGTCAGCAAAAGTGAAAATATTGCCCTGTTTCAAATGTGTAGGGTCTTCTGACTAAAGAGAGATTTGACTCGTGAAGTTAGTTTCCTTCACTAATATATTCACAAGGTTGGCGGCGATTGCTTTCTCAACAATTGGTTTAGATGTTTGATGTGACTGCTATGAAGTGCTGATCCTTGTATAGATAAAAATTGCCACCTCAGTAGCCAAATTGTATTTGTACTTTGAGAATTTAATGTTGCAGAGTTCAAGAGTGGTGTCTGTGGTTGAGTGTTCCTTCCTCTGGGGGGGTTCTCTCTCTCCGTAAAATAGAAAGATTTAGAAAGTTACCTGAATCTGATGTAGTATGACAGGATCAATGTGGTTAATTGCATGATTTTCTTAAAAAGTAGCAGGTTCACAAAATGAATTACTATTGCTTCTAGTAATCACTGATGTATGACTGCAGTAACGGCCAAAGTTGACGTGGTGAAGAATATTGCATGGCACACTTCATGCATATATTAGAATGTAACCTACTACGTACCTATAGTATCAGGTGTTTATTATGATGCAAGGAAAAATAGTATATTAAAATTCGTGAGTTTGAGCTTGCTATTCATAGAAGATATGTTATTTTTTGTTACAAAATGTTATGATGACTAATGATTGAAATGAAATCCTTGTTTTCAGTGATAGATAAGAGCATAGAACTTCTTTCAGCTTCCATTTTTCAGTTTCAAAACTTATCTAGATTAATTTTAATTGTACCTAGACTTAAATAAATGAAGACAAGGCTTTAGCCTATAGTTTATTAAATAATTAAATGAAGATCCAGCCACAATCTAAAATAAAATACAAGTTAGTGAAGGCCTGGATTCTTCTGGTAAATTTCTCCAAAGTGTGCTCTGCAGCTGAAAACTTTACTTCAGTTTCTCGTTCCACAAAATGAGTGTTGAAGGTTTTGTCTTGACGAGAGTCTTAATGCTTTTTACTTTCTTGTCCTTACAAAGTTATTTTTTAACTTTTTAGGGCATCTGAAATAGAGACCACAGAAGAAGCCAGTAGTTCTTCGTCTGCCACAGTGGATCCATCCAACAGCGAAAGTAGTATTGATTGGGAGAGTAGTGAGGATTCAATGTCAGAAAACAATGTTGAACATGTCGGTCCTGGTGAAGCAGTGCTGCGCCTGCCTGCTCATTTGAGGGAAAGTGCATTCTTCAGCGATGGCTCCGACGATGAATTTTTCGAAGGCTTTGGTGACGAAGACGATGACAATGACATAGGAATGGATCGCATCGCAGAAGTTATTGTCTATTTGGAGTCTGGCGACCGTCCAAACTACGACGGTACTGCAACTAATTCAAGGGATCAAGTGGATGATTTTTTGTCTGATGACGAGGATATCCCTGACGATCCTTTCCAAAGAGAGCTGCGAGGTTCCATGCCAGAGCCAAGAATGTCATTGCATGCAGCTGCATTGCGAGGAAACACTAAGGAGCTCAGGCGGTGGAAAAATTGGAGAATAAGTTTGAACGGAGGCAAAGCCCAGGAGGACACGCCCTTGCATTGTGCGGCTCGCGCAGGTGATGTGGGAACAGTTGAAGAGCTTATAGAACAGGGTGCCTCAATCTCTGCCACTAACATGTTTCATCATTCCCCATTGGAAATTGCTGCAAGATATGGTCACACTGCAGTTGTGAAGGTAATTTTTTTTATTTTATTTATAGCAGTCAATACAACTAACAAAGATAATAACAAGCTGAGTAAGGAATATATCTGTTTATAAAGTAAAAACATCTCTACTTGTTTCCGATTCCCTTCCCGCTGATATTAAACATCTTTCAAACAATGTAATGGTTAGTAAACTTTGTAGAGGTGCAATATACTCTTTAAATGGATAATTTTTTTAGAAAGTTTGTTGGATTACTTTATTTTGCAGCATTCATTATTATTATTATTATTATTGTTGTTATTATTATTATTATTATTATTATTATTATTATTATTATTATTATTATTATTATTATTATTACAGTTTAGAACAAGGAGTCCATTGCACCAGAAATCAATCTGTATTCCCTTGTGAAAGTCCAAAATGTACATTCTGCTTGTTAAAAACTTATTTGCCTTGATTGTGATTTGCAGACTCTCCTGGAGCATGGTGCTGGTGAAGACCCCGATGAAATAGAACGTGCCTACGAAGCCACTAAGAGTTGGGCAGTTGTTAAAACACTTACATCACATGATGATGTTTTTCTTGAAGATGTGTCTCCCGAGCAAGTACATGTGAGTTTAAAGCATTTTTTTAGAATGTAAAACATCTTTAAAATTAATCCAGAGGACAAAATCTTTTAAACTGCAAGTAGCAAAAACATGTTGCTGTCTTACTGTTTAAATCTTTGCATTCCCATTACCAGTGTGCCTTCTATTGGCACCTTTGTAGATGAAACCTACCTTGACAGTGTTGGTATATTCAAACAGGATTTGTCTTATTTAATTGGCTGTTCGGGTGACGCCAGATCCATGGCAAAGGTGCCAACCTTTCAGTCGTCATTCTGCGACCTTCCTAAGGACGTAATGATCCTGAGGGTCACCATGGACGCAGCATCACCCGGACGGCCAATTAAATACTGACTCCGACCGCGGAAGTTTATGCTGTCAGGGTTGGCCTTGTTTGAGAGAATTCATTGTTGTAGAAATAATACATCATTTTTCACTTGCTTGGCTATAGCAATCCCAGAATTTGAGGGTATAGAAATAGCATGAATAGACATGGGCAGCAAGAGATGACAATATTCAGTCACTCCCTTTGACTTGAAACTTATGAACACTAATGTATATTGAATTTTAAGATCAATTTAATAAAAATACCATATGTTCATATGATATGTTAAATTGCTACGAACTTTTAGAATTGCAACCCCTTGGTGGTCAACGTGGATGTTTCTTTTACATGTTCATGTTACCCTTACGTTCGAGGGGCCTCACTTTTGTCATATCTAAATATATAAAACAAAGTTTAGTTACAGCATTTAAACTCAAGAACAGCTAGACCAATTTTAATTATCTCTGATTTGTTGGCCTCAACTCCGACCCAAATAGCAGAATAACTATTAAAATATCGGAAACATGTACTAGATGGTTCTGTAGAACAAAACTAAATGTTCATGTGAAATGCAACCTGCAACATACTTGGCAGGATTTTTTGAATCTGTATTGTTCAAGAACTCGTAAATAAAGCATTCTAGGGCATTAAAAACTAAAATTTTGAAACCAAGGCCTCAAAGAAACATTTCTCACTTTTTGAACATTCTATTACTTTTTGCTGGGGAAAGAAGAGATGAAGGGCAGCACAGTGTCTGCTGCAATCTTCTAGTTTTAAAATGTTTGCGAGGTAAGATTGAAACAAATATTCTCTTGGCCAAATTATCAGCTGCCCTAATGGTTAATAGGTAACTTGATTTTTACTTAGTCGCCTTGTGAATTGTTTTTGCATTGTTGTATTGTGTTGTAGCTGGATGCTCCATGGGTGAATCAAATGCTGTTCCGAGTAGTTCAGCAAGGAAGAGTCAATATATTGAGAGGTCTTCTGAATATGGGTGCAAATGCCAACTGTAATGGGATTCTCGGATGGACTCCTCTTCAGATTGCAGTGCGTCGCTGTCACATTCGGTAGGCAATTGTTTCTACTTTAATTTGTTGGTGTTAATGGGGGTGAGGAAACCGTCTTCTGGACCATTTCTAAGTGAATCTTCAACGAACATAGTTGTAGTAACCAAATTTGTTTCTGTATCTTCTTTTTTTTTCCCCCCTTCTAAAATTAGTCTAGTGTAATACAGGATTCTCCTAGTTATTCTCTGCATTTTAGTACAATGGGATAAGTTTATTGTTTACTGGTTGCTACAGGGCATATGTATTTATAATCAAAATTAAGTGTCTGATTTGTATGCACTAATGAACTAAATATGTGTCTTTTTATGCAGTAAAAACTTGGAAATCTGCTCTATAAAGTATGATGTACACATCCTATCACTATTTCTCATAATTCTTATGCAGAACATTCATCCAGTACTTTATTCTTGCGATACAGTTCACTTACACTACAAGATTAACATTTCCAAAATGGAATATTTACCACTAAATACTGTAATTGCTCAAATAATTCCTGTCCTCGAACACCCAAATTTTTCAGAAAGGAACCCCCCTCCCTCTCAATTTTATTTTTTCCCCCACACTTTTATTGCAAAAAAATAGTTCTATTAATTTATTAAATTGTTAATGTTGAAACACAATCCCTCAAGTGTAATAAAACAAAACTAACTTTATGTTAGTGTTTTTGCATGAAAAAGAACACCAAATTTTGGTAGAAAAATAACTTCATTCAGCATCATTCTCGTTGCTGGCAAAGGGGCTGTTGGCAATGGAATCATTGGTCGCAAAATTTCAGAAGCCATGATTAACACTGGGCGACTGGTGATCATCTACTGCACCTCAACAAATGCTTTCTACTAATCCATGCAATAAGCTTCAATTTTGCGATACCTTGATGTGAATAATACCCAATTTTCAGCTACCCTTTTTTGAAAAACGAAGCAAGGATTGTTCAAGTATATGTGGTACATTGAACAGCTAGCTTTAGAACCGTGTTTGTTCACAATTTCTAAACCCTTTAGACATTGAGACGGCAAGTTCCTTTCTTTTCTGCATCATGTTTCATTCACTTGTGGGTGTTTAATGCAAGTATGTTCATCAACGTTAACAGTTTTTAAAATGAAATGGCACATAATACTAGAAACTATTGTGATTTTCCAGTTAAATATCATGTAGAATTCAATTACGGGAAATTGATATTAGCTGCAATGAACCTCATGTGTAGTAACGCATAGATATAAATTCAATTTATTAAAATAAGTATAGTAAATGATTAAAGATGATTGTTTTCAAGCAAAATATGCTAAATAAATATAATTTTGCAGAAATATGATGTGTGTTAAGAAAACAGGCAAAGTTTGCAAGATCGCATCGTTATATCACATTTAAATATCATATAAGCTCGAATATCACCTACATATATTTTTCAAAAATTTGCTAGTTGAAAATTGAGGTGCGGGATATATTTGAGTCAATGTTAATACCGCGAACTTGAAGCATGTTGCATATTGTCACATGGTGGCGTGGGTTATACTTCGTTTTTTATAACGTGGCGCAATGGAATGTCTCGCAGCATTCACAATGGAATTTATCTTCACAATGGAATGTCTCGCAGCATTTCTTGTCTTTCTCGGTTAATGTCGCTTCATCACGACCACAAAATGCCTGACATAATGCCTCTGTGAGGACGGATCTTGAGGCGCAGCTTTATAAAAATTGCACTCTAACCAATGTTAATCGGTGGGTCTTTTGAAGACAGACATTTTTGCAATAAAAGTGAAAAAATGTATATATATTCAAGATTCCTTACCGGAAAAATAGGGTGTGGGTTATATTTGAGTATGTGCGGTAATTGGAAATAGGGTATATCATGTATAAACCAGTGAGCATACTTTCTAACTGCAGGGAAAAGATTTACATTTGCATTGAAATCTGGCCCCTAATTATAACATAAATCTTATAATAAAGGACTAAAAAGGTGAGGCAATTCATGTTCTAGGTGGCCACTTTCTGGAAAACTGGGGAAAATCAGAGAACTTCATTGCTCTAGAAAAATCAGAGAATTGAAATGGAAGAATCAATAGATGTAAGGGAAAATTTTGAGAGGTTTATAAAACTAGATATTAATCCGTAAAAACAGTTATACTGTATTACAACAAACTTTATTTTTGCTTTGTTTTTATTTGGTGAGAAAATGTTCTTAATTTATTCTTTGACACAGTGAAATAAAAAAAATTGACCAATTAGTATCAGGGTAAGTTTAATATTTTCTTGAAGTACTTTGAAATTATAATCTTACTAGAAAAAAAAAATTAAAAAGTGCACTGGAAAACCGGGCAGAGTCAGGGAAATTTGTTTCATGGATTGATTGGCCACATTTATGAAATTATTTGTGATTATTAATTCAAACAAATAAGGAATCAAAAAAGTTGATTTCTCTGGTTATTCATGCAAGATCAGTTCAAATAATCATATGTGATCTATAAAATTTAATTTTCATAAGTTATCAGCTTATTCACAGGGATCAAAGTGCCAAAACTGTGCCTGCTTTTAATTAATTAATATGTTAATTGTACAGGTGTGTATCTGCGTTATTGGAAGGAGGTGCAGATGTCAATGGCAGAGATGATTTTATGTGGACTGCTTTACACTATGCTGCGCGAGACGGCCACCATGATATCGCACTACTTCTCCTTAAAGCGGGAGCAGATGTGTTGGCAAGATGTCGAACAGGACGGACACCAATTGCAGTAACCACCGACGAAGCTACTCGCCATCTACTACAAAATTACAACGACTCTTAGTAAAATATTATTGATTTAAAAATTGATTGTTCTTACATGTGATTGGATAGTGTTTCTCTTTGAGAGACAGTTATCTGTGGAAAGGACATTCCTAGAGTGTCTGATAAAATACAAACCTTCAATGAAACATGTTTTCATTGGTTGTAGGTTTTCCTGGTTGATTGTTAACTCGAGAGTCGTGTTGGTTTTTATTTGGTGCTTTTTTATAATGCAGCAAAAAAATACTCGATAAGAGATTATCAAACATTGCCTTCATAGTGTTTCAGTCAATATTGTAAAGTAATGTAAAATGACCAAAGAAATAAAACTTTATCCAGATATAACCAAAGTACTGAATCTGAAGTGAGAAATGAGTTATGAAAGAAAACTTTCTATATCTGTTCTCGTGAATAACACAAGGAAAGATCATTATCTTGTAAAAGAAATCTGAAGAAAACTTTGTAAAGTGAATATTTACAATAAAGGGACTGATCAAAATAAAATGTGTAAGAATTTAAGAAGAAAATATGATAAATATTTTTATTATTTAATTCTTAATATTACAGAAAATTATTTTTTCCAGAAAATTCGCTTTGACTTTGTTTACTTTTATTGTTTGGTTTGAATTCTGAGTGGAAAAACTATTGAAAATGTGATAATTAATTGGCATAGGAAATTTAAGTGATACAAATGCTACTATCGTTAAAAAATCTGAGGAATTGTATACAATGTTTTCAAAAAGAGTAGCATTGCAATTTCTGTATTTGAGAGAAGATATTTGCAGATTTCACTGAATTGTAGGTTTCAATTCAAAGAAGAATGAGTTCCTTGAACAATGTTTGATTAATAAAATTAAAGTAAAAAAGTATTGATGTACGAGTGAAATTGAATAATTTGAACATAGTTTCAATCCTGAAGGAAGATGGTTTTAACAAAAATTATCAATCGTAGTCTCAGGTTTTCATTATGTTTTACGCATTATGGTTTCTGTTGTACATCAAACTGCCTTTTGGTTCCATAGAAACAACTTGTTATCAGTCGTTCCAAAACTGATTATTTGTCTGTGATTCTGATGGTGAAGTGATGCTAAGAGAGAAATCAAATTGTGTATGAACATTGCAAATAAGACTAATTTCTAATATATTTTGTTTGCGTATCATATTGCTATTGAAATCTTATTGTATTGAGAATATAATGTTAGCTATAATGTAATTTAGTTTATTAATAAAGTGTTAAAATTTTTATGTGATATGCGTGATGTTAGTTTTTATTGATTATCCAAATCTTACATATGTATTCTTTATTCAGCAAGCAACTTCAAACTACAAATAATTAGTATTTTCTTTCAATTTGTTTTGAAATATTTGTGATTCTTATGTAACTTCCTTTTACACTATTGAGTATCTGTGGACACGACCAGAAATTAGGACAAGCTATGTTACTTATGAGATTATGACCAAACAGTATGGTTAGAGTCATGTTGGTGTGATTTTGTAATGGTACGAGTTGGTGTGATATTGTAATGGTACGAGCTGATACGATGTAGAATTTCCGTGAATAAAATTTGCAGCGATGCCCCCACTGGAGGAGAGGGAGGTTCCTGACCCGCGTCCCTTCGGCTATTGACGAGAGGGTATTTATGACGTTTCATGGCAGGACACCCCCGCGCAGTTCGGGGTGAAGGGAGCCCTTTGTCGGCAACTGGGTCCCGCCGAATCCTCGAGAGGGTGCTTTCCCCACCCACGCGACCGCTCGTCAAGGAGACCCGACGTCAATTGCGCCCACTTGGGGAGACAGATTTACGACCGGGGCACGTGCGTTCCAATTTTTGCGTGCGTTGGTCATGCCGGTTTTTTTCGCCGGCCGCGACAGCAACGGACATTTTAGCTGTTGGTTAGGGATCCCGCGGCATTGGTCGAAGCCCCGCCCCACCGTGCTCCGCGAAATTCAATCGCGCGTATCTGG